TCCATGGTGGAGACGAGGGGGGCCCCGGGGACCCACACAAAGCAGGGGCAGAGGCAGAGCCACGGTGACAGAAGGTGGTGATAAGGGCAGAAGAAGCAAAAGTAGAAAAGGGCAGAGTTTAGGTCATGGCTTCCAAAAAAAGGAGCAGAATTTAGGCTCTGCCCTCCAAAAAAGGGCAGAATTTAGGCTCTACGCAGGCAGAAAAGAGGCAGAGTGAAGCCCACCGAGATGCCATCAACCCTCCCAACCTGCTTGGCTGGAAAGCAGGACCTCAAGTGCCACCCGGACCAATTCTTGGTTGGTCTCAACCCATTGACACCAAAACCCAGCAGGCACCGTTGCCCCCGTGGCCTCCTACCCTGGGACGTGGCAGTGGGCGGCCGTCAGCACCCAGTTCTTGTCCACCAGCGTCCCTCCGCAGAGGAACTTCTCCCCTTTGAAGAGGGCAGCCTGCCAGGGCAGGTCGCAGGAGGTCCCCTCGATCACCCACAGGACGTTCCTCGAGGCTGTGGGGAGAAAAAAGGGAGATGACACAGGGGACACGGGTGGTCTGGGACCTTCTCTGATGTCATCCACCCCAGGGAGATGGGACACAGGTAGGATGGGACCTTCTGGTGTGACGTGGCCACCCCCTGGTGGCCCCGTCTCCATGTCCCCTGAGTCCTGGACAAGGAGGTGGAGCAATGGTGGAAGAAGGTGGTCCAGCTTGGGAGAGACCAGGAGGTCCATGGGGTGGATAGGGGACACCTGGGAGAAATGGGGGTCCCGTGGGTGGCCATGGGGTCCCTGGGGCAGATGTGGGGCACCCATGCCCGACGCAGAGGGTTGGGGAGCACCCAAGGTGGATGTGGGGTGGTTGGGGGGACACCCACGACAGACAAAAGCCCCCAGGGTGGACTTGGTGGTCCCCCAAGTAGACGTGGTAGCCCTGGGGTGGACACAGGGGTCCTGCAGATGGATGTGGGGGTCCCACAGGTGGACACAGGACACCCAAAGTAGATGCGGAGGGTCCTTGAGGTGGACATGGGGCACCTAGGGCAGATGTGGGGCCTCTGAGGAGGACACAGGGGTCCCACGGGTGGACGGGGGGCATCCAAGGTGGACCACGGGTGGATGTGGGGCACCCAAGGTGGACGTGGGGGTCCCACGGGTGGACCACGGGTGGACGTGTGGCACCCAAGTGGACGGGGGGGTCCCACGGGTGGACGTGGGGCACCCAAGGGGGACGGGGGGGTCCCACAGGTGGAAACAGGACCCCTGGGGAAGACACGAGACCCCTTGGAGAAGACGCGGGGGCCCCACAAGCTGGACGTGGGGTATCCAAGATGGACGTGGGGGTCCCACAGGTGGACGTGGGTCCTACAAGGTGGACGTGGGGGTCCTGTGGCAGGACACGGAGCACCCAAGGTGAGCGTGGGGGTCCCACAGGTGGACGCGGGACTCCTTGGGGTGGATGTAAGGGTCCCACGGGTGGTCATGGGGCATCCGAGGTGGACGTGGGGGTCCCACGGGTGGACATGGGGCACCCAAGGTGGACATGGGGGTCCAACGGGTGGACCACGGGTGGACGTGTGGCACCCAAGTGGACGGGGGGGGTCCCACAGGTGGATGTGGGGCACCCAAGTGGACGTGGGGGTCCCATGGGTGGTCATGGGGCATCCAAGGTGGCCACGGGGGTCCCATGGGTGGCCACGGGGGGGGCCCACGGTCTCTCCTACCTGTGGGTGCCAGCGCCAGGAGCATCACGAGCAGGACCTTCATGCCGGAGGGCCGGGAGCTGCGGGGAGATGGCGAGGGGGTGGCTCCGGCCCCGGGGGGAGAGGGAGG